TATATGTATATTATTTTCTAATAATATTTATAAGTGGAAAATAAATCGAAAAAAGTATTTAAAATAACATGTCAAAAAAGGAGGGAAAAAGGGTTATCAAATAGAAATTTATGAAGAAAAAAAATATAGCGGTTTTGAATGACGTATTATTATTATCTTATTAGAAGATGTCTTCAATTAATTATTTCACATCAAAACTATAATTACTTCCGCTTTGTCGCAGAATTCCTATAATTATATCTAGTAGGAGTTTTGTAAAGTTATTGTTAGTACATTGTTATATAATAAAGATTTAAAAAATAAAAGATGATAGCAAATTACTAATTTATTACCTTTCTTAGTTTTATATTATTTAATTTTTTACAGGACTTATATAATGTGTATATATCCTTTCTCATGGGAAATTAAAAGTGTAATAATAGATTTATGTGTTTTTAAATGTATAAAAGTCTGATATGAATATTATATAATCTTATTGAAATTAAAATAGTATTATTTTACAGAATACAGAAAAATAAGAGCAAATTTATAAAAGTTTTCAAAAGATTTAGAACACGTTAATCGAAAATTGAACGTAAATAAATTTAATTGTTTTTCTTTTAAGTTAGACCAACTATATTCGGTACAATTTTTATCATACATTATAATTTTCGATATTTTATTTTAGTGTGTGTATAGAAATAAATGTATGACTATATTAGTATATCGTTTGATTACCATATAAAAAATTTTAAAATATATTTTATTAGTGATTAAGTAACTCAATATATTACTCTTATGGCGTTACCGTTTGTCATTTTTGTATCACTATAATATAGCGCATATATCATGTTATGCAATGRCTAACGACTTTATATTCCTTGTATTATTTTTTTCGACAGAATAAATATAATTAATGTTGGTTTTGGAAGTATTGTCTGATATTGWCGCATAATATCATATGCATATACACTATGTTCATTACACCACGTGACTGTTATTATAATATTAATCATATTTATATCAATACTATTAAGTAGAAAATGTACACATTTGTAATAGGTATGGTAAAATAAGTAAGAATATTCGATCGAAAATAGACGTATAGATTAAACTATATTATAGAATGCGTATAACAATCTCATATTCTCAAATTGAACATTTGAAATCATATTTTTTAATCTCATTCAAATAGAAAAATTATCATTGTACTCAAGCCTATTGAAACAATCATTTTAGAAATTCGAAAAAGAACATCGGGTTGGTTCACCATGCATTGCTCCAAACCTATACAATATTATCGTTTTCCCAAACTGGAATAATGTTCTTTCAGTTATATTCTACAGAATTATTCGTCTCATTAGATTAGACGCAATTCATACACAGCGATCAATTTCGATGTAATTGGAAAACATAATATATCCAGTCCAATATAAGATTATTATTGGATCGCGTGATAAGACGGAAGACTCAAACTGCGTATACGGTGAATACCTACCTACCAAACAGTATATATTGCATCTATATATATTACATCAACTCATGAAAATTAAGACAGTCGTCTGAAACAATTGTCATTGATCGTCTATATTGTGATGCTAATAACCAGCTAGTCGTGCTTCTACGTTACACTGTTTCGGTAAAGTCGGTGTAACGTGCACGCAATCGATTTTCGTGCGAAGGTAGGTTGTATCGCACATACAGGATGAGTGATACACTTACTACTTATTACAGCCATAATATATACAGATAGATAGATATTTCCTAGCTGCATTGCCCGCAACTTCGGCCAGGAAAAAAATTATAAAATAAAGTGCGCTTGCCACTCGTTATATTTCGGTTTAAATGTGTAGGACGTAGGTACTAGGTAATGATTTCGTGTGTAAATCGGCTAAGCCAGTTTATAAGTACCTTCGACGCGAAAACAAACATCAAAAATTATTAACGACGTCCGCGACTGCCGACGAATCTATATTGTATAATTTTTATTAAAATGGAGCAAACGGCTTCACTATTTTCCTGTGATAAAAATGTAGTTTTTATGACATATAAGTTCGTTTCTTATCGTTCTGATTGTGATGAAGTAACATTTATTTTGTTCACTTCTTCTCTGCAATGAACATTATTGCGAGTTTATGATTAATTTTCATGATAATATCATATATTTCTATAGCCAGGTTATTCCTACTATATACAATAGTTAGAAATATTTTTTAAAACATTCGTGTCTCGTCGTCGAAATTATTTTGTTTTTTAATTGTTATCGGGGTACTTAATATTATAATAAATAGATGACTGCATGACTGATAAAATAAAAACTATCGGAATGCAACTGCTGGTTAATGTAAATTTTTATTAAAGCGACCGTTTTGACTTTTGGAAAGGGAATCATTATTTTTTAGTATTTTTCATGCTTAAATTAATTGAATGTTTTTTTTTACAATTTTAAATGCTCTTTTAACGATCTATTTTGCTACAAAATTCGAGCCCTGCATTTCGTATTATAAACGTAGGTAACGCGCACAGCACGATTCGCGTTTAATAAACACGTAAACCTGTCTGGTATAAAACACACAGGGGAACTCGTATATTATTCGTATTTTATATGAGCTAAGTGTATTAAATTGAAATAATTATACGGTGTCCTTGGTAATACGTTACTCTATATATACGTACGTAGCTAGGTATAGTACGGTCTCGCGTGTTCATATAATATACTCGCTGGTTTTACAGTTAAGTAATATAGGTATAAGATGATTGTATATATATATAATATGGTATGTATACAATTTACGAATTTTTTTTATCACGGATGTCAGTTCGTTCACACAGCGCGTTAGCGTTTAAAACGCGAACATAATGGAAAAAGATGAATATGTGAGAAAAACGGATGTGTGCACGCGTGTGTGTATTTGTGTGCATGTGTGTGCGACTGGTTCCCTCGATAATAGCCAGCGCCGGTCGGAGAGTCGGCGGTCGTTGATCTCATCACATGCGTATTATAGGTATACATCGCGACACATCTGTTGCAGATCTTGTGACATAACCGTTGTGACGCCGACTCACCCGACGCAGAGATTAATATTATATTTTCGTCAACGACTTCGCAAGGAGTCAGTCCGGGCTAGGTATATGTATATGGGATAATATTATTATGATCCCAATCGCGTTCCTCTGCAGTGTGAAGACCAACGACGAAATACGCACCCTCTACTGGCAAACTACTCCAATCGTCTCCAATAGACGCCACTTATCGTCCGACCCGCGATTTACAGGACTATGTATAAGTAACGACTCGAAGGATAGCGTTCCAGGAAATTCAAAACATGAGTGGCTCAATGTTGTCAAAGTATATTTCCTTTCGTACCTATGCTATTAATTATTATATATATTGAGCCACTCATGTTTTGAATTTCCTGGAACGCTATCCTTCGAGTCGTTACTTATACATAGTCCTGTAAATCGCGGGTCGGACGATAAGTGTCCGATAAAGTATATAAAGTATATAAAAGTACATAGTCGCAGCATAATACCGGTTCAACAGGAATGACTATACGTTATCCATCGCGATCTGAGGATGTCCAAGAATTTTTCAATCGGGGATGCGAATAGCTGATCACTATACAATTATAGAGTAGAGCTGCACCAATTAACAGCTGCTAAATAACTTGGCATAGGCACAACTCGAAAGCGGCTTTTGGGGAGGTGGGTTTGGCACTCAAAAATGTACATATTGGATAATAAGAAACGAAAAATGTTTTTTTTTTTTTTAATGAAGCATACATTGGCTGAGAACGAGTGTACAACAAGTATAGCAAGTCAGTTTCTGAAATTTGACAAATATTTAGATTTATTATACCTACCAAATATAATAAGTGTCTATGTGTATACAAATTTCTTTTTTAAAAAGAAAATCAACCATTTTTGGTTTTTAATTAAAATTATCAAGCTGATTTTGCAGTACATCTAAATAATAGAAAATTTGATCTTTAAGTTTATTCACAAATCTCAATTATTAGAATTTGAAGCAAATCGTAATTAAGAAAAAAAAAGGGGGGACGAGGAGGAACAGGCTTCTTGAATTATACATATACTGGATAAATATAATATAAATTTATATTTATTTAAAACTATTTGAAAATATACCAACTGAGTGTAAGCACAATTTTCACAGAATAGAAGAAAATACTAGGGCTACAGCTCCCTCCTCTAAATATCAATTTTATACATCAAATAAACAGCTTCAGGGGAGTAGCTATAGTATTGTTCAAACAGTCATTTTTGTTGACGGTTAAACAGGAAACAAAGAGTTACAGCCCATAACCTTTCGCCCCCCCTCACAGAAAAAAATTGGTGTTCGTTGTACCTATGCGTCTTAGTTTAAGTGAATTGGGACTAAGGGACTAACTTCTCTTGGAGGTACAACCATTATAATTTATAGCCTAACCTAACCTTCCAAAACATAATCATGTATACACGTATATAAAATGTATACATAATTATCAACGATACATAACTATATATTATTATTAATTTATAAACTCATCGTGTATAGCAGTAATTATATAGGCTATTGATTGTTTAACAACGATGCCCTAAGCCTTTGGTAATTATAACAATAAAACTTATGCATAGCTATATAGGTAACCGCAAAATAAACTCACACGCAAAAATCGTCATGCGGCTATGTCTGCAACGTCCTGCTACGTCTTATAAAGTGGGGGGGGGCTAAATTCACACACATCGTCCAGCACTAACATAAACAGTGCGTATCAAAAGTCTCGTATCACCCTAATTATTTCCGTAGAAAATCAATACATTTTATATAATAGATATACATTTGTTTCAACAATAAATGCATATATACCTAATCGAGAAAAAATGTATAGCGTTAAATTTGAACTTTTCTTAATTAGTGTCTCACTAAAGAACATAGGCCTTAGGGTGATGTGAAATTTTGATCTTTCTATGTGTGGAATATAACTTCAACTATAAGATGCTAAAAAATGTATAGTTCTCACCTGTTCGCAAGCGTGTGAGTATCTCATGAGCAGAGGCGCCACCACGTGTTCCGATTCAACTTTGAGCTCTTTTCGGAGTTGAGTGAACTGAAACAGAGCGTCTTTGTCGTACTCCACCCGGCGCTTGAGTATGGTCAATAGTATGGCCATCGACTTGTTCTCCAGTACGGGTTCGACGACGTTCAGCAACGTCTTGTTCTTGATGAGCCGCTCCTGAATGTCGGACTGTTGCAGGGACAGTTGCCGCTGGTGCGACGCCTGCACCGGTGCCGGGCCCTTGCTCACGCCGTCCCGCTTACCGGACAGGCTGAGCTCTTCCAGCTTTAGCAGAGCCGCCTTGTACGTGTCCACCAGCTTCTGGAACTCCACCTTGAGTGCGTCGTGCAGGTTGGTGAGCGTCTCATCGCTGGTGCCCACCAGCCCGTGCTGGCCGAGTCCCTCGACCGCCTTGTCCAGTGACCGGCGACGCACTTGCAGCGCCTTCCGCAGCTTGGGGTCGGACAGCACGATCACCTTGAGCAGCTTGCGTGTGCTGCCCAGCCACCGATCGGCGCCGCCCGCTGCGGTGCCGGTGAACAGCTTTACCAGCCGCATGAGCACGTGGTCGGGCCGGAGCACCTTGACGCCACAGTCGGACGATAGAAATACCTTGGCGTAGAGCGCCTCCAATATGGACAGGCTGTGCGGCATGGCTTCGACGAACAAGTCGATCGGCAGCTGGTCGAGGATCGCTTTGAACGTATTGTGACTGAGACGGTTCACGAAGTTCGCCGCCTCCCTGTACTGAGCGTTCTCGTACAGCAGCAGGATGCGTTTCACCGCGAATCTGGGGCTCACGTCCGCAATGGTCATCGAGCCCACTAGCTCCGGAAACCCGTCCACCCAGTTGGAGTTGCGCCACTGCATCTTCTGCACGTTAATCGCCTGACGGTTCCTGTCTGGCTTAATCCGGTTGCCGAGCCCTTTGACCGGTTCCGAGCTGTACGAGTTCCACGTGGCCGATGGGTCGGACAGCGGCGGCGGCGGAAGGGTCAGCATGGTTCCACTACTTTTCGGGTACGCTTCGTAGTATCTGTTCATGTCGCGTCGCGCATAACACTCCGGATATCCGGATTTCGGCCGGAACACTTGGTGGCGACGGCCAGAAACTAGGTGTAGAAAAACCGCGGCGCAACGTCCGTGTGGATAGTCGGACTTTTGAATAAACGGGTTTGGAAAAAATTCAAAAAGCRCGTAACTCGTTCGATGTAATTATAAAAAGGGTGTGTATAAGTTTAGTAGGTACACCGCGTTACCTGCACTAGTAGGCAGGTATATATTATTATAGTGTTGTACGAAAAGCGAACGCGGTTAAACGTGGTCAAACTCGGTGGTTCGTGTTCTGTGTGGTACGACGCACTGCGGCAGTTGACGACGAGCGCGGCTTGTCACGCTGGCGAAACTGGTCAGGTGAGAGACTCTCCGGAGACTGGGTGTTTGAAGAGCCGGTCTCTGGTACGCGCGCAGAGCCGGTTATAATGACCCTCCACTCGTGGGAGAAAACCGCGTTCGTTTACACGACTTGTCGGGCCGTGATGAGATCCACGCGGACGACGTGCCCCGCCGCATTGCCGTATACCGCGGACCTGGTCCCGACGAATTTTCACGTCCATTTACACGTATATAATATTATTATTATTATGTACGTTGCGTTATCGCGGGGTTTACCGTAAACGCGTGCATCTGAGTGCCCGAGACACAATAAAATATCATAATATTATTATTCGTGTGACGTTCARTTTATGAGTGTAATTTTACCCGACAGCATAGGTACACGTATGGTGCAGAGTAGTTCCAATTCACTGGAAATTGTAGTCAACTATAACACAATAATTGTCTGTAGATAACTGTGAGCAACTCCACCCCTCCACATCCCTCAATGTATGGATTTAGCGAAAACATCTCATTTTTTGTGTATTACATTATAATATAATATAGGTAATGACTAATGATTATTAATCAAATACTGTGTTATTTAACAACGACACAACAAAATATCTTAACTACGAGTGCATATCATAATATGGGTATAATCATAATGGTATATATTATTATGATATTTTAACTGTTGAAGTTCACCAAAACATTTRAGACGTTCCATTAACTATAAGATTTTAGAATACATAAAATGAGTACTAATATAGTTAGTTATTTTAATTTTTTTTGATAATTAATTTAATATTATTCTCATACTTCTAATAATAATAAAATACAACGGTTAGGAAAATATATAATCTTCACAAGGTACAATAAACAGTTTTTTYGGAAAATTAAATTATTATTTAATTTTGTGTAGAACGCTTTTTTGATTTTTCTATCTTATACATAATATTAAATAATAATTCGGTCTAACAAAACATAAATKTCTTATTCAAATGCTAATTAAGCTCTTGCTCTAACCTTAAACGTGAGAATTCRTAATTTCTYGCTGGTAATTAAGGGTTGAAACTTATTTAACTAATTATGAATTGATACCTTGAAACAAAGAAAGATTCTTCATTTTAACATTAGTCATTATAGCCGTTTCAGAATAAGTAAGATAGGATCCTTCGTAAAATATAATAATTTGAATTAAACCTTTTTTTYGATTTCATTGTCTGTAATTTATAACGATCCGTTTGACTATAATACATAAAATATTTAACAGTAGATATTTATCCACAAATTGGTGTTTTAATGATGCTAGTCAATTCCTTGCGCATAACTAATCTATATATCAAATTGAAATTATTGTTTACACGTAGCTATCCTATAAATAGGGTTTTTTTACAGTGATTATAAACTAACCAATGAGACATAATTACATTAAATCGTCATAAAAATGGACAAAGTGTGTACAGAAATAGTGGAGAACATAATTTTATTTTTATAGAAAGTAAACATACAAATAAAAAACATTTATCCATAACTAAATGCGATTTAATAAAAAAAAAAACAGATAAAATTGACGATGATTATTATTTGTTAGGATTATAATATATTTAGCTTGCATGCGTTATGATCTAATAGTCTATATCCTCCTTAAAATATAATTGCATATGTCTGCTAAATAAGTCTATACCATCGTCTTTAGTTCTTCCAGCAATCGCAATGTCCTATAGGTACCTACATTAGCTCGGCCACGCCACGTTAAGATTCTTTTTAACACACAAAAGGAAACACAATACAAATACTTTTAACTCCATTAAATCATTCGCACGCCTTTATTATTATTACCTATTAATTTTTATGTTCTACATTGTGTGTAAAATAATTCGTTCACAATTATTATGAAATTTATATATAATATTTCAATTGATCATTTGTATTATCTATTAATAACGCACAGGCTATCATGACTATAATATTATTAAGTATTACAATTTCTTAAAAAATTAAAAATTATTTCGGTTTTATATACTACACTATACTAATAGGTACTAAACATATACGAAATATATTATAATCACGCACTGTTATTCCATTTCAAATAATTTTTGACTTTATATATTTATAAAGTTTTAGTCAAATTTATCGTAGTATTAAAACGACTTAGATATTAAACAAAAATAAAATATGCATATACTAGGTATATATTATTCTCTTAATCTTAAAATAGGTATGTAATAATATTTTATGAAGTTATTTCATTATATTAGTTTATACTTTAGAAGACCTTAAAATGTTTAAATATTTTTAATAAGGCGTCGAAAACAGATATATATATATATATTAATGAGGCTATTTTAGTATTTAAAGTCAAAAGTTTTTCATTAATTTAAATACTAATATATCACAATCATTATATGTGTATACAAAAAAAAAAATATATATACATTTTTTAGTATTAAAATAAGTTAGTGGGTATAGATATTTCAAGATGTTGAGAGTACATAAGTACATTTAATCGATTAAAAAAAAACACATTAAATATAATTTACTGCTGAACATCTATAGATGAATTATATTTTTATAATTATTACGTAGGTATATATGAGTGTGGTTTAATGTTAGTGCATTTCACTACAAAAGAAAGTTTTCAAATTGTATTTTCCAAACATCACGTACTTGCTGTAATGTACATATTTATTGTCCCGCAACATTTTCTAGTTGCTTACATTGATTTAACAACGTAATTTTTTATAACACTTAATACTTTTATCCTTAATTTTAAGTTAGGTACAAAAAATATTTTTATCATTAAGTATACATTTTCTATTTATAAATTGCTTATTTATRATATACATATAGGTACATATAAGATTATTATGATATTATTAGCTTAATTCATTAATATTATTATTATATGTATACATTATTATTGTATCATAACGTAAAATTCTAATTTCTAATACTTTTACGCTAAGGTATGTATATAAATAAAATACATTTTTCTTCTCAATCTAACAATTTTAAGCATCTTAAATATACCTACTGCAGATTGACTTTACAAATAAATGCCAATAATATATTTATTTATTTTTAAATACGTTATTGAATAAAATTGTAAAAAATGTATAAGAATATCAACACTTTTAGAATGCATAATYTATTCCTTATTATTTTACTATTAAAAATCTGCAATATCACTCAGCCATTGTTGGCGATTGTATAATGACMACAAAATGTGAATATATTAAATACTTTTATATCTATAACATCATCATCATTGTTGATTCATCGCTCGTTGTAATATAAACACAAAGGTGCGCGTTCTATATATGCGTGTCCTAATCAAGGTTTTTATTTAATATTGTAATTATTATTAAAGAATTAATAATGATAACGATAATGCGGCGGCGGATTGCCAATAATGATGTTCAATTTTCCACCCGAAACGATACAACGGTCTAATAAGTTTAAAACTTAGGAGCATCCATTGCGTAAGTATATAATAATATTATATTATATTATACCTATGCGCTTAGCGTGCCTCACATGTTTATATCGTCTGTGCGCAATAAAATCCCACTTTAGCACACGGGTGCTTACAGTATATGTTTGCAATGTTTAAGTACGAACAATCCAATTTGTTTTCAGACGGTAAAACAAACAACGTATAATATAACGTACATTTAATCGTCTGGGGATGATTTGACGATTCCGCGTATATATACTACAGAGAGGATTAAGACGTTGGGTCTTTATATACGTCATAAAGATGTTTAGTGTTATGATTGCCGTGTAGTCAAAGATGACGAAACACTAAACAGGCAAACAACGTTAAAGTTCCGGTGCCAAATAAAATAATTCATTTCCTAATGAGGTTCTCTRTATGTGTGTGTGATATAAAAATTCTCACCATTAAACAGCTACCTACCATAAATAATAATACATGTAATGTTTGTATTATGATATATTATGATGATGAAGTGTTTACGAAGGAAATACCACGGTCATTATATAACAATATTATTTTATTTTAAAAATATTTTCCCAGGATTAGATCGATACTAATAATTATTATTATATGATAAAAAAAGTTATTTCGTTGTTGTTATTATACTTATAATTATAAATACCAGATACTTATTATGAGACGTATCCATGTRTGTTAAACGCTCGTTTTTCGTGACGTCCAATCTTCATGAACCAAATTTTACTTCCCATAAAAAAAAAACTAGGGATTAAAGTACGTTATAAACGTTTTGTGTCAAAATGACCATAAAAGATAACTCGTATAAGCTATTAAAAAAAAATGGACATTCTTTTAACATTGGTAGACTGTTGTTTTAAATTGAGCAATACTATTGTTATTGCATACAATAAAAGATAAATGTATAACAAGGTTTTTATAAGCAGTTATATTTTATAGTTAGAAAAATCCAAACTGGCAATTTAATAATTTTTTAACTAACGTAATCAAATTTTCATTATATTATAGTAATATTATAAATACTCAATTTGTATTATGACGYTTATAATATACGTATCTTTACTTCAATTATTGGACTATAGTATATCATGCTATAATAATAACTATGAAAATATTCCTTCAAATAATAAATGCATAACTTTAAATTAAGAGTAATATAATATGTATAATGTAGGTATGTAACATATTTAGTAACGTTTTATATTTGAAGAAAAAAAATTGAATGAGTTATAGCAACATAATCTAAACTTTACAACTTATTGCAATCGTGTACTATACTCTACTGTATATACTATAATTCTGTGTATACTAATATACAAAAGTGCAAGCTCTACAAAATTTGTGGAGCTTTATAAGTTCAAAAAAAAAAATATATATATATATAGGTATATAGTCAACTAAATAATTTTTCCTCACTTCAGATCAGATATTTAAAGACCTAAGGTAAGTTGTATAATATTATCCGAAAGAAAACTACAATGAAAAAAAAATTGTGTTAGGTATAAATAGTGTATTATTGAACGTACCAAAAACGTTGTAAGTTTATTGGTTAGTTTTTTTCAAACCAATTTCGTTAAAAATATTTTTTAGTTC